GGCGTTACGACCAGGGGTTGGGGGTCAACAAGTGTCCTGGCCCGTCTGGCTGAATGCCAAGTCTTCGGGGCACGGCTTTATAGGGCATTTCATAACGCGTGAAGAAATTCAATTAAGTTCGTGCCGGCTTCTATTTTGGCCACTGTTTTTATGGCCCGAACAAGCGGCGAACGAAATTAAAGTCAATAAACAAGAGCTGCCGTCTGCGGCCGGGAATTGTCTCTGTCATTCTGTTGGCCCACGGCTGTCTCTGGTCTCTGGTCTCCGGCCAATTGGTTCTGGTCACAGTTGTTGTGGCATAGTGTCCCTTTTCCGCCGCCCCATTCTCTCTCTCTCCCCTGCGTGCGGTTTCTGTACTCGTTTTGGTGCGAATAAACCGCAAACCCGTCATAGTCCTCACTCAGTCAGACAATGGGCCACATAAAGTGGAGGACAAGGCCCAAGGGTCGCTGTCGATGTCGAATGTTTCTGTGAATGCGGCGGATCCCTCGCAGCACCACCTCAAATGTGAATGTAGAGCAACTCAAGGACACGGACTCTGCATAATTTTCAATGGAAAATAGCTTTGTTGCGCACAAAAGCGCGCTTTATTATGCAGAAATGTCTTTTATTCGGAAATGAAAGAGGCGCAGTACGGAGAAAATGCTTGGCAAATTGGAGAAAAGTGTCTTACTTCTAAGTTGTTTTATTTGCTGAAATCCACTTTTTATGAAAGTAGTTACTTTTAATCTTACTTTAAACGTATCCTTTTTAATGTTACTAATCTGTTAACCTGCTTTATCTCTTTGCAGATACACGAGGATCTAGAGAAAGATCCAGACTATTCTGGCTCCGGCTTTGGACCCGATGACGAGGACGCCGAACCCGACCAGCACTCGCACACTTCGCACAACACGCGCATCTCGCAGAACATTGGCGGCGGCATAAACAGTAAGCATAACTCGAACGACAACTTCGGCAAGAACAGCAAGAACAGCAACAGCGACCTCATCTCGAGTAGATTCAACAATAATAATAATCAATCAGATCGACAACAGCCAGAATATCAATCTCAATCAAAATAATAATAATAATCATCAAACGAATAGTGGCACAATCATTGGTAGTAGCACCACAGCGAATAATAATAACCACAATATCAACATCAACGGCCAGAGCGGCATCATCAGTGGTAGTGAGAACGGTGGTCATAGCACCGGCATTAATTCAATCGGTAAAGATCAAGCTAGTCATGTAAATGCAACAACAACAATGACACTAGTTGGTGTTATTCCCACTTCTACTTCAACCTTCAACAATACACAAATTCCAACAATTATAATCCCAACAACAAAAACAGATACAGATACAAGTACAGAACCAGCTTTAGCCAGAGGTCTAGATAGATTATCAGTTACAGTCACCACCACCCGATCGAGTTTAGTTAGTATTTATAGTAGTATTAATAGCGACCATTCATCCAATTCATACACAACAACACCAACAACAAACGCATCTCTATATCCTCCAGCAGCTCATTTACCAACACAAACCTCATCCACGACCTCAGCAACAACAACATCAACAACTACGACAACAACCACCACAAAAACCCGCCGACATCCTCTACAACAACAACAACCGCAGCCAGTTCAACAACATCCACAACACCAACGCCTCCCCCAGTCAGCAGAGCGCCGAATACCACAACTCCTGCCACATCAACGGATCAAGCGATATTCCCTGCTTTCGATAAGGATCTCGATTTGGCAGCTGGTAGCGGTGATAAAATTATGATGACGACGACGATGATGATATTTTCGATCATGCCATTGATGAGGATATCGAGAAGGAGGTTGATATCGATATCGATCCCCCAATATCGAAAACGCCAGTGCTTGCGGTAACGCTCACGATGATGATGATGACAATGACAATGATGATGATGATGACGATGGCACCATCGATGTGGATGGCGGCAACGAGGAGGATGAGAATGTGAATGTGAATGCGGTGGTACTGGCAGGACCAGTACTGGTGGCAACGATGGAGATATCCTTACAGAGCGCGGACGTCAGTGGTTTTTATTTTTAAACTTATACTTTCTTACTTGTTACACTTTGATTTCTTCCTCCTTTCAGTTTATATGTTTGTGTAGTTTGTGTTTTATTGTTGCCTTTGCTTACCATCACATTTATTTAAATCTTTGTGTTGTCCTTATTGCACATGATTACATTATTGTTTGCTTTGCAAAAAAGAAATTGCTTTTGAAGCTCTGCAATTTGGGTATTTATATAATTTTTATAGCTTGTAATTTTTGCTATGGTTTTATGGTTTCTTTTTTTTTTTTTTTTGTTGCACAGAATAAAAGTAAAGTCAATCAATTAAATATTTAATATTTCCAAGCTTTTATTCTGTGCACTAGCATTGCATATTTTTAAGTAGTCTGGGTTTATTTTCATGTATATTTGCTTTGCTTTCTTTGTGTAGTTGGTCCCTATGCACTTTAAGTACTTTAAATTACAAATATTTGTTGGTCTAATTAAGTTTTCCTTTGGTATGTGTACATGTATAATTTACTTTATTGTCGCGCTCTGAAACTCTACGGTCAACGCTGCGGGTGTCCTATATCTCGCTCTCTCTCGGTCTCTGTTTCTGTCTCTGTCCGTTCTCCGTCCCTGGCTACACACTGACCCAAAGGACATAACAATTTTATCATTATTTAAACCACTCACACACCCACACAATTCATTCATACGAGTTCATTAATCATTTGCCTTGCTCCTCTGTTCTTGCATTCATTCGATTGGGAAAAACTCCCGCAGAGCGAACACAATTTCACTTCGACCCCCAACTCCATACTCATTGTTTTAGTGTTAACCTTAAGCTAGCGCTAGACTAAGCCAAGTAATTTAAGGATATTGTTTAAAAGCTTTTATCGTGACAAACGGCAGGCAGGCAAACAAAGGGACAGGCCCAAGACAAAGACAAAGCCAAACAATCGATTAAGCTGCAGCACGGAAAACACTCCATCAAAGAGGGCCTATAGGGAGGGAGGTGTGCCAGGACATTCTGCAATTCTTGCCCTAGGCATAAAGTTCCATTAACACTGTCCGCGATCCCAACCAGAGCTCCGCCTCCTGCAGTTTTCAAAGGAAGCGAATGAAAATCGCACTAAGCCGCGCTGTGATTTTCTGCTTTGTGTTAGGGGGGAGAAAAACACTTGGCGTGCTTCGCAGGCACTTCAAATGAAAAATCACCGAGTCCTGGCAATGGCAAGGCTCCAATGTCTGCAGCCCATTCCTCGTCGATGTTGTCCCTTTTCGGGTGGGCGAACTCCTGCTCGTAACTGTAGCCGCTTACTTGACTTGGGACACAACACTGTGAGAAACAAAGAATAAACAAGGAGAGTGAATCAGGAGAATAACATATATAAAGGTACAATTAAGTTGAAACACCTTTGAAACTTAGTCTCAAGATACATATTTAGATCAAAGGAAATGCATAGACGTATATATTAAACAAGCTACGCATTCAGAGATTCTCTGCTTTTCCAAACTAATTTTCAGTGTGCAAACAGATCCTTCAGCATCACTACTATTGATAGACCAACCGAACCGAACCACAGTGCCACTGTCAGAATCAAAAACATGGCCTAATGGCCGTCGCAGGTTTGGTCTCCATTCTATGGTTTTATGGCTTTGATGTTTGCTTTGCCATTGCCATGGCCACAAACACATACAGGCACCATCAACATGGTCAGCATTGGAGGAGCACTGGCCATAATTCTGTCATAATTGTGCGCAGCTGACCACACAAAATAGCTACCAGGGGTAGAACTAGGATCAAAATACCTCCCCCAATACCCAAAACCCAAAACCCGGTAGCAAAGTGCATTTTGCTTTCAATCCAGAACAGACACGACACATGAAGGCATCACCTTTATTGGTTCGTGGCAAATACCGAGCAGAACAGGGACAAGACAATCAGTCTGATGGCAAAGACAGTCCCAGTTTAGCAATCTAAAATCTTGCAGCCAGCTAAGAAATCCATTTGCTCTTCTTCCGAATCGAAATAGCATTGAAAGTAAATATTTGTATAGAAACGGAGGATTTGATTTTCCACGAGTTGGCAAAGCGCATATAAAATCAATTTTGAGGGGTTTATACGCGAGGGCCAATTCAAGGAGCTCTCGTGGGCATTACCTAATTAATATGCCGCCCCTCGAGGCACACGCACACAGCCATGTGTGTGCCAGTGTGTGTGTGTGTGTGTGCGAAGGACGAGGGCTAAACAAGCAATTTGTTTGTCTTAAGCTGTGCGTGGGAGTGTGGGATCTCTGGAATGGGATCCTGCAGCTTAGTGTTGAACATGAAGGGAGAGTCAAACAAAAGCTCAGCAAAGAACAAGGACCCGCACACACATATGTATGTATGCATTCAGGAGTAAAGCCAAATACAGGGGGAAGGGGGCTCTTTTCAATTAAATAAACTTAAACTCTCTACCCGTTTGACAGGCAATTGGCATTAAATTTTGCGCTTTTTCCCGCTGCTTGCCACTCGCCTGTCAGATTCAGCGAACAAAAATAATTGCAATAAGAGGAAAAAGGCCAATTCTGGAGCATTTCCACAGCTTAAGTCAAAGCAATCGAAATTCTTTTGTGAATTTGTCACAATTTCCATTTGTAGCTTGGAAACTTTGTTCCAATTCGAAGAAAAGTTTTTCGAAAATGCTAGCTTGTTAGCGTGAAATAAGCTGTCAGTTTTAGGAAGCGGCAGTTGAAGTTATAGTTTAAATAATATATGTATTTTAGCAGGACATTAACCTATCCATCGAATAATTCCTTGGGTTAACCTCTAGCTACTTGGTTAAGTTATCCTTAGGCTTAAGTTTCCTCCCCTCCCCCGTTTGTAGCTTATATACAGCAACTCGACTAACATTAAGCCTTGTAAATACTGCATAACAGCTCATTAACACACGCACACACATACTCACCCATATACACTCACACACCCACCTACTCAGTAAAACCAATATTGACACTCGAATCAATTTAATTGAATACCCACAAAACACACAATACGAAAACAACAACAACAACAACATCTCTCTCTCTCTCTGTCTCACTCTCTGTGTTTTGTTTGATTTTGCTTGCACGTCATGGGCATAAATAAAACCGGACTTCCGTCCATCGTCCATCTCATTCTCACTGTTGTCTTGTCTTTCTCTTTTATTTCTCCACTCTCTCGCTCTCGCTCTGGGAAAGCAGCGGGCGGAGGTGATAGCAACGTGCACGGGTTGGACCCCACTACGAACGTGAACAGCCAGCCCTCTGACACAAAGAACAACGATCACAGGATCAACGGCAACGAGGTGGTCATCATGAGCGAGGACGATCGCACGTCGAGCTTTTTCTCGCAGCCGGGCATCCTGGCTGGTAAGTATCCTTGAATATATATCCTATCCTAGAATATATATATCTATAGGTTGGATCTGGTGAGATAAGCATAACTTTTGGGTTTATGAATTGCTTAATATATAAATTAGTATTTAAAACATAAAAGGTTATCAAACTATACTTATTATGAATGCCTTAAAAGTTTACGTTATGGATCCTCAAGGATTTTTCTCAAGTTTATTAGAAATCTTAATCAAGACATCATTTTTCTTATGAATGTTACCGGTTGATTCTTTAAGTTTAACCTAATTAAATATATTCTACATAATTAAATGCCAAATAATCAGTAACTTTTACAACAATAACTTAAAGATCTCAATTAAGTTGAAGGGCAAACTGCGTATGGGGATTTTTAGGGACAAGGATTAGATGTAAAGAAACATCGATGGGAACATCTATGCTTTGATTTGATTAAATGTTTAGAAACAAAGTGTGTTTCAACACTGAATAATAAATATTTTTGTGAATTTATTTGGTTTATTTTTCTACCCTTGCTAGGTATTATAATTTCATTGTAACGGTGTGAAGAAATCAATCCGACATCTCAGACAGAAATTATAAATTTTCCAATTTTCTTAAAATTTTAAAAGGGGGACAAATTGTCAAACATCGATACAAATTTTAATTTTAACACCCAATATGCAGATTTGCCTATAAAAACTAGCACCGAATTGAAAGTTATGCATTTTTGATTTAGTTAGGCAGTTTTTATAATTTGATTAGAACAACAAATAATGCCCTTTTCGCTTAGCTATGAGTTTTTTAAACTTTGATTTGCCGAAAAAAAATGTAATGTAAAAATATCTATAAGTATCGAATAACGAAGACTAGTTTTGATCGATATCCGTTTCGATATTATAATTTATTTGCTAACTTGATCTTGTACTGGAACTACTTATCTTTATAAATTTATAACACACACATGACGTATACTTATTTTTAGAGTTTTCACGTTAAGTATACGTCATAAAAGCTGAAGGTCTCTTAAATCGAAGACTATTTTTACACCCTTGCAGGGTATTTTAATTTCAGTCGAAACTAGTAATATATTCTTAATCAGCGTCAAGTCCATCTAGACATTGAAAAAATTTTTAATTTTTAAATTTTTAAATTGAATATGTAGATTTATAAATCGCAAAAAACTTACACAGAAAAGCCTTCCGAATTTAAATTGATGATTTTATTAGTTTTGATTATTGCAAAATATTGTTATATAAAAATATCGATTTAAAGAATGCTATTATTTTATATAAACATCATTGTTTTTTTTTTATAAAATAGAAAACATCTATGAAAACATCTCTACCTCTAACTAAGATCCACCCTTAAGATCCAATAATATACCCAAAGTTGTAGAACATTTTAATAATATTTTATTCCCCTCTAAACAGCTGTCATTGGCGGTGCAGTTGTTGGCCTGCTCTGCGCCATACTCGTGGTGATGTTCATTGTGTACCGCATGAGGAAAAAGGACGAAGGATCCTATGCGCTGGACGAACCCAAGCGCTCGCCGGCCAACAATTCATATGCGAAAAACGCGAACAATCGCGAGTTTTACGCCTGAGATAATGGCACGGCGCGCAGGTATTAAGTTGGCCACACGGCCAGGAGCGGGACCGAACTGCAAGGAGGACGAGGGCAAAAGGACGACTGGATGAGGGCGGAGCAGCAGAGACGCGAGTGGAGGTAGAAGAGCGACGGGTTTGGTTTGGGCTCAACTGAATACACTGTGCGGAGTGGCAGTGCGACAACATCAGCAGAACCACTGAAACAAGGATATTTAATTGTCCGCAGCAGCAGCAGGAGCAGCAAAACTAACACACAAAAAACATAAACAATTGAAAATTGCGAAACATTTTCAATCACACAATTTTTCGTGAGGGGTAAATAAAAGAAAAACATAAAAAACACAAGAAATCAGCGAAATAATAACAAAGAAAAAAGAAACAAAAAAATTAAAAACTTACCTGTAAGTTAATGCAAAATACACACACACTGACGGACAGGCGACTCTCTCTCTCTCTCTGCGTGTGTGTGTGTGTATGACTTTTCTAATTAAGTAAGTTTTAAGCGAGAAAAACAAACGGAAATATCAAATATAAATTGCAAGTAAATCATGCGAAATTTAATATATATATATAATAATATATTATATATAAATAGTGAAACCAATATAAGGGCGGGCAAAATTAAGCGAATTAATTATGAATTACGAGTATGTAGAGCAAACGCGGAAGGAGAGGAGAGGCAAGAGCCGGAGCCGGAGCAGGAGCAGGAGCAGAAAATTGAATAATAATAATAATAACTATAATAATAATTAATACACACACACACGCGCATCCGACTACATAGATGTAAAGGGCCACTTTCGTGCATATTTGAATATAAATGTATGGATTATATATGTTAGCTGAATAACGAAACGAAAGCGAATTGGATACATCACGATTATCTCTCAACCCTCGATAATAATAGACCCCTCTTCGAGCCACACACACACCGCACACCACACACACTTAACACACTCTTTATTTCAACTCAGCCGTGTTTTGTCACCATTAATGAACTAATAAAACAAGTCCAATGAGAATAATTATTATAATTATGAATTGTGCGGCACATGAAACAAACGAAAATCGATGCATAAATGTTTTTAAGTTATACATAAGCAAAAACTATGTAATTATTAGTGTAATTCCTAAAACAAACAAACAAACAAAAAGAAAAGAAAAAAGCGAAAAATACTGAATCAAGCAAGAACAGATTACAAAACACTCTGAACTCTGAACTCGGAACCTTCCTGGCAACTATATACGACAAAAAGAAAGAAACCGAATTGAAATGAAGATAACAATTTCTACTTTTTTCTACAACAACATAAAAAAAACACCAAAACCACAATGAATATTTATTGAAAATTGGTAAAATCAAACTACGAGCAAGAAATGATAATGAAGAGGAATCGTTATGAATGCAATTGTACATTAATTTTTCGGGTTTCCCATTGGGTTTTCGAGTTATTCGAGACTTCATTCGCTTGACTCAACTGCTTCTTCCATGGCTAAGAATCAAATCGGATTAACGCATTGATTATTGTGCATTTATTTAGTTTTTACGTTCGCTGTCTCACTGACAATTGTTTAGTTTTGCAAGCAAAATACAAAATACAAAACGCGAAGTACGAACGCCGCAAATCATAACAAACAACATGCAATAGTGAAAATTAATTGTTAAGTTTACCGCAAAATCCATTAAAGAAATTACAAAACGCCAGCCAGCAGTCCAGCAACAAATGTTATAATCACAGCCACACACCACCACTCACACCCTCACACACACACACACACTCAACAGCCAGGACCCACAACCAACAAATTAGATGCAATACTTGTTTAATTGTTAGTCAACCGATATTACAATATATTCTCTCCAACTCTCATGCCATATTTTCATTGCGAAAGAATGATGAAAAAGAAAAACCACAAAAAAATGGAAACGAATACGAAAACTAATATATAACATTTAAGTATATAATTAGCGACATAAATCAATTGTGTGTGTAACTGTGTATAATGCATAAATAATGAAATCAAACTACTTTGACAGCATAGAGCGCATAACAAAGGGAAATTCGAACATCATCGCGACACACAAAACAAAAGAACTCACAATTTTCCCAGCTCCCCCTTCCGGAAATCCAAACTAAAAACTCACACCAAAACAATCTGAACACAGGATGCAAACATGCAGCAGTAACATGAACTAAAACACTTTTCCAAAACACACAAAACACAACTTTTTCTACACTGTAAAAAACGCAACCGCAACCTTAACCCTTCTTTTTGATAATGTACTAGAGTGTACTATGTTTGTGTCCTATACTCTCGACCCATAGTACGTTTTGTCAGATTTTACATCAAGTTTTTTTGCTACTTTGTAAGCGTTTAGTTTGTTAGTTTTTTTAAAAATGCGCTGAATGTACTGAGAAATTGGTTTTGATTTGCTAAATAAAACTGGTATATAAACTAATTTAAACAAAACAATCTACTCTTTATTTCCACATGACTTCCTGCTGGGTTTTTGCCTTACAGATTAGCCTTCATCAGGGGCTTGAGGTAGGTCTCGAAGGACTTTTGGACAGGCTTCTGGTTCATGGTGCTGCGCTTAGCCGAATCAAATAGTCGCGGATACACGTTGCCATCGTAGCTGCCCAGGACGGAGTTGAGGACGCGGTCATGGAAGTCGAAGCCATCGCAAATGGCCACCGCATTGGGGCGGAACTTCTCCAGCGAGACTTCCAGACGCTTCTGCAGCGACCTCAGATCGGCATCACTTAGGTTGATGAACTATAGTTATAGATAATAAATGAATATTTGGGTAAAGGATATTTAAACCCTGTCTTACTCTCAAAATATCATTCAGGTTGTTGAGCACAGTCTGGACCAGGAAGAGCTCCAGAACATTCTCCAAAACCTTGTTGAGTGATGCTGAACGCTTCTTTGCCTTGGGACCTGTGATTTGCTCGAGGAATGTCTGGCAGACGAACTGACGGCCATGAAGCTGTTAAATAAGGTTAAAATTAATTGTAAATAATATGTGTTTAATATCTCTATAAGTATGTTTACCTCCGCAGCACGAGTTAGCTCGATGCCTGTATTGTTGGCTGCCACACCCTGAGACTGACCACTGGCCATGCGATCTGCTAGGTTCTCGAAGGCAATGCGGGTTTTTCTATATAAAAAGTAAGTTAGCTTCTGATTTAACAATCAATATCAACGTCATAACTCACTGTGCTGCCGTGTATTGCAGAGCCTTGATGATGCACTGCCACGAGTTGTCCCACTTGGGGAACTCCTTCAACTTCATGGAGCTGGCAAAGTAACTATAAGAAGCCGACACGGGCTTCTTCTCCACAAATGCAGCCCAGGCTTTGACCAGAGCACGTCCGATTTGCAGAAGAAGCACTGTGTTCTCACCCTCGTACGTATAAGCTGCCACAGCGTTTCCATAGATATTGCTCATGTTGGCAGCTGTAAGATAACCATGACCTCCAGTGGAAAGACGCAGTCGCTCAATGCCAGCACAACCGTCCGTAGTACAAAGGACCTTCAAGGCGCAGGACAGAATGTGCATATCGGGCAGGCGATCGAACTTGCCACTGTTGGCCTCCTGCACAGTCTGGGCATACATCTCCCACATGTACTCCGCAGCCAAATGGTAAGCCATTCCAGTGGCAATCTCGGGAAAAGCTTCAGGCGCTGAGTGATATGATCAATGATCTGGGGCTCGGGTTGACTGTAAGTATAAAGTTTTGTTTTTTAAAACGGGAACATGAACAAGATCTCTAGTAAAACTCACTTGGCCTCAATGGGACTCTGTCTCCTAACGGCTGAGTATCGGGTGGCTATGGTGGCTGCCTCCAGCAGCAGCGTGGAGTTCAGATTGACAATGAGACAACGCGTATAAACCATGGTCAAGTAGTTAACTCTTGAGGCCGGACTGGCCTTAAAGGTGCCATCACGCTCCACCTTTGCGAACTTCATCAGCATGTTGGTACGTGGAATGCGAACTTTGTTGAGGCCCAGAAAGCCCTGATTAACCGATACCATGCCCAGTTTCTTGCCAATCTCGCCAATATCAATGCCAGGCAGGGGCATATGAGTCTCCGGATCCCTCAACGGGACAATGAACATCTGCACACCATGATGGACATCGGCGATATAAAGCTGGGCTACAACCATAGCATGATTGGCAGTGTGACCCACTAACAAGAGGATTAAAATCAATTCAGTTAGTAGTCAAATTATCCTTCGTATAAAACACTCACAGCCGCCGGGCCACCATTTGTAGGCCTCCAAATTGGGAGTATTCAACACAAACTCATCCGTCTGGGGGTCAAAGTCTGCCCGGGTGGCGATGCCACGAACATTAGTTCCATGGGCCATTTCGGTCTGGGCGTAGGTTCCAAGAATATTGCAGTTTTCTGCCGCTTTGCCCCACTTCTCCACTTGCTCGGCTGTGCCCTGGCCCTTGATCACATCCACAAACATGGTGATGTGCGTGGACACCGGATGATTGGCCGGGAAAAGTCCATGACTCTGCACATTAAACAAAAATCCACTGCAAAGAATAAAGATAATATATTGGAAGGTCTAGACGCTAGAGAAAATAGGTTCTTACGGCCAGATATCATTGCCCCCGGGATTAAGTTGGTTCTGAAGAGCCTTCAGCTTGACTGCCGCCTCAGCCACTTTCTTTACACTGGAGTTGTAGACCTCCTCATGGGACATGTACTCGTGGTTGATCCCATAACCATCCTCCAGATCACTGAAGATGGCCTTTTCTGTTGGAAAACATATTTAACATGAAAATATTGTTAATTTAGGATGGCCAAAGGATCAGGACTCCCATCGATCATAGCTATGTCAAAAATTAATTAATTTTAATTCAGGAAACGTTAAATCTGCATACCAAAAAAATTAATTTTCTTCAATTGTTTACAGTTTTAAATAATAAATAAAGAACCATATAAAATTAAAAAAAAAAATGGTTACAATTTTCTTCTTCACAAACATTGCTAGATCGACTTGGGTGTTGATGCTGATCAAGAATATATGAGTTATATATAACTCTTTAACCTACTTACAAGTTTTTAACTAAAATGATAATACAATTTATTTAAGAATAAAATCGTTAATAAATTAAAACAATTTATAAGTGTTTGTAGCAATCTAGCAATCTATCTAAAGGTTTCCTTGTCTACGGTGTTATCACCTGAGGGTGTGGATGAACCCTTTAGACCTGATAAGAGTCCCATTCGCATTGCCATAGCTTGTTATCGTAAATGCCGTTACTAGTGTCATTATCTTTTATTGTATAGGTATAGCCAACTCTAATAATTCTGCACAACAATGTATAATTATTTTCGTGGACTTTGCGGCCCGTGAAAGAAGTCTTTGGACTCCAAGTCTCCGCTCATCGAAAAGAAGCTCCAAAGACCAAAACCGGTCCGAACCATTCATCACGTAGACCGGCATATCTGACGCTAAAGATAATCTAAGCTACTTACCGATCTGGCGTTTAGTGTTCAGCTTGTCCTGACCACCCTGCCACCAGGCTGCAAACTCCTCCACCTGGAACTCGGCGCCGGTGCGCTCCTTCTGTAGATCTGGATTCACAGTCTCCGGTATCAAGTTCTTGATGTGCGACATTGTATAGTGTTTGTTTGTGCCAAAATTGTTAATAAAATAATAACAAAATAAGAAAAAGTGCCAGAGGGAAGATCCAACCAACAGCTGTGAGCTTGACGCGACCACTAAGCGAAAGTGTATCCCACGGCGAGAAGGTAAAGCTTTTGGGGGGCAAAGTGCACTTAGCAGCTTTTTAAAGAGAGAGAAAGCTGATAGAAGCAACCAAGTGAAGAGAAAAGATTCAAGGGGGAACTCAAAGAAAGAGAAATCAATGCTGATAACAAAATATTAAGATCATTTATCATTTATTAAGAGCATTTATTTAAAAAGGTAAAATAAAACAGGTTTAAAACACAAATACAGAAAAGGTATAAAACTATTGCACGCACATTGCACATTCCTTTATATGTTTGACTTCATGAAGGGCTTGAGAAGCTCATTAAAGGATGCTGGCACCGATTTTAGGTTCATCGGGGTCTTGAGAGCAGCATCAAACATTCGCTCGTACGCATTGCCGTCGAACGATCCCAGGGTAGAGTTCAGCTGCAGGTCACTAAAGTCGAAACCATCCACAATGGCCACAGCATCAGGCCGCAGCTTGGTCAGCACGGTTTCCAAACGATCCTGTAGGCCGCGTAGATCCGTATCCGTCAACTGAATGAACTATAAAAAATGAATTAGTAAAATATGTCCCCTATTAAAACCACAAAATCTCTAACTAACCCTCAGCAAGTTGCTCATTTGATTAAGTGTCTCCTTGACCAGGTACAGTTCCAAAAGGTTCTCCAGAACCCGATTAAGAGATGCAGATCGGGTCTTGGACTTGGGACCAGTCACCTCATCGGTGAAAGAGGAGAAAACAAATGCGCGACCATGGAGCTAGGGGGCAAAAAACAATAGAGATTTTTAGTCATTAATAATAGTTCAAAGTCCATTGAATGTTAGCAAACTAACCTCGGCTGCCTGCGTGAATTCAATGCCCGTGTGATTGGCAGCATTCTCCTCAGTCTCTCCCCTTGACAGACGGGCCGAAAGGCTCTTAAAAGCCAAGCGGGTCTTGCTGCAATATTATAAAAGTTAATACACAATTTCTTTTAAAATATTTCTATACTTACTTGGCTGCTGTGTACTTCATGGCCTTCACCATGTTCTCCCAGCTGCCCGTCCAGGCGCCAAACTCTGGATTCTTTTGCACTTCGGCCAGATATTGAACGGTGGGCACCAGAGGAGCTCCACTCAACGCCGAGCGCCAGGACTTCATCAAGAAGCGACCGATCTGCAGAAGGAGCACAGTGTTCTCACCCTCATAGGTGCAGGCTGCGGTGGCCAGCACATAAAGGTTGCTCATGTTGGACGAGGACAGATAACCATGGCCACCACAGCCCAGGCGCAATCTCTCCACGCCGGCGGCAGAGTCCGAGGAGCAGGTCACCTTTAAGGCGCAGGACAAGGAATGCAGTTCCGGCAGCCGCTCGTACTTTCCGTTTTCAATATCCTTAAGTGTTACATCGTAAAGATTCCACAAATAATCGCTGGCCAGGTTATAAGCCAAGCTGGTGGCAATCTCGGGGAAGAGTTTCATCTGTTGGGTGACATGATCCATGATCTGGGGCTCACGTTCACTAAAAAACATAATACAATTTGATTTCTGGATCTAGATTCATTATACTTAACATACTTGGGATTAATGGGACTCTGACGACGGACAGCGGAGTATCTAGTGGCAATGGTGGCTGCTGCTGCCAGCACAAACGCATTATTCTTAGCAATCACGCAGCGCGTGCGCACCATGGCAAAGTAGGTGAGGACATTCGTGGGACTGCTGATATAGGTTCCATCCGCATTGACCTTAGCATGCCGCATCAGCATCCGAGTGCGAGGAATGCGGACGTTCTTCAGGCCGAGGAAGCCATTGTTCACACCAATAAAACCCATCTTCTTGCCGATGTCACCGATGTGGACACCGGGCAGAGGCTCAAACGTCTCCTCATCGCGCACTTGTACGAAGAACATATGCGGCCCCTTGAACTGGTTGTTGATGTACAGCTGCGCCATCACAAGGCAATGGTTGGAGGAGTGTCCCACTAGAAATTATGAGTCATTTAAGAAACCTGAAGCACTAAATGTTATCCACACTTACAGCCTCCGGGCCACCACTTGTAGGAGGAAATCTTGGGCGTATTCAGCACGAACTCGTCCGTCTTGGGATCGAAGTCTGCACGGGTCTCCAGTCCTCGCAAGAAGGTTCCATGCCCGAGCTCAGTTTGGGCATAGGTGCCGCAGATCTCGAAGCGTTCCACACGCTTGCCGAACTCCTCGTACTGCTCCGGAGTGCACTGTGCCTGCAGTGCCTTGACTAGCATCACGTACATCACGCCAAAAGGATTGCCACCAGGGACGAGGCCCCACATGACAGGGTGATCATAAAGTTTACTACAAAAATTGTGAAAATTCGAGGATTAGCTAAGAAGTTGGACCTAGTCAGAGAAAACCTACGGCCAGTAATCGTCTCCTCCAGGATTGCGTTCCTGCTGCAGGCGTCGCAGCTTCTGGGCCGCTTCGATGGCGCACCGCTGAGAGAACTCGTTAATCTCCACATGCGACTTGGCCTGCAGTTGCAGCATCTCGCCGTGATCCACATCCTTCTGCATATATGCACCTGTACATAGAAAATAGCACCGTCAGCATGACCGTTAAGCTGTTCAATGACTTGGAACTGATTATCGGATGATTAGTTTTATGGACTCACGGATTTCCCGGTTGAACTTTAGAACTTCCTCGCCCTTTGCCCACCAGGCGGCAAACTCCTCGGTACTGAAGCTGGCTCCATCGCGCTCCTTTTGCAGATCGGGATTAACGGAAGCGGGAATTATGGATGCGGAGGTCATTGTAACTTTGTAGTCGGACGGGGAGGACTGCGCGCCAAGAGAACCGATAGACAACTAAAGCCCAATGAGCGGCGGCTCTTTATAAAAGTGAAATCAGCCGGCCAACTTGCTCAGTGCTCTTTCAAGAGCTTTTCCCGAGTTGAGGGGCGATTTTAAGAGAATTCATAGTAGCACACCGTTATCTATGTACATATACCAACGTCCGATCTAGGTCCAAGTTTATAAACACTGTGGATGGAGATTTTACTACTTAATCGCCGAGATAAGTAGTTTACAAAGGCGTGTAGATAAGTTGTGCTAGGCTCTTTGTGTTTGCAATTTAGATTACTCGATCAGCTGCTCTGGAATTAGAACACATATAGCGCGCCTTAGACCAGGCTGATGATCGTGGTTAACATGCGATATCGATAAAAACTTGGCCGCTGCTAACTACACAACAGAGGTGTTATCTATTTTGCTGTTAAATTTTCGGTTTTCATTTTAATAGCCATATCGGTTAACCGACAAATTTGAATTTAAATTTAAATTGTCGATCAACAACTTACAATTTACAACAACAAAAGCAAAAATAAGTATTTAAATATTCAATTTATTTTAGATAAATATGATTAAAAGTACCCTTGCAGAGTACTGTACATTAAGTCAGAAGCTTCCGACCCCATAAACCATTTATATTCTTCAATCAATAGTCGAGTCGATTTAAACATGTCCGGTTGAAAATAAAATTGTAGAAATTTTTTAAATTTTGTTGAAAATAAGATAAGGGGTTACATGGTTAAATTTTCCAAAAGTTTAAACAATGTTACATTTTTTAAAATCCAAATTGAGTATGCAAATTTGTTAACCTATTAAAAACTAGCACAGAACAGCTTTCCGAATCAAAATTAATGAATTTTTGGCTTAGGTATAAGGATTTTAAATATTTGACTTCATGAAGGGCTTGAGAAGCTCATTAAAGGATGCTGGCACCGCTTTTTGGTTCATTGGGGTCTTGAGGGCAGCATCAAACATTCGCTCGTACGCATTGCCGTCGAACGATCCCAGGGTAGAGTTCAGCTGCAGGTCACTAAAGTCGAAACCATCCACAATGGCCACAGCATCAGGCCGCAGCTTGGTCAGCACGGTTTCCAAACGATCCTGTAGGCCGCGTAGATCCGTATCCGTCAACTGAATGAACTATAAAAACTGTAATAGTAAAATATGTCCCTATTGAAACCAAAACATCTCTAACTTACCCTCAGCAAGTTGCTCATTTGATTAAGTGTCTCCTTGACCAGGTACAGTTCCAAAAGGTTCTCCAGAACCCGATTAAGAGATGCAGATCGGGTCTTGGACTTGGGACCAGTCACCTCATCGGTAAAAGCGGAGAAAACGAATGCGCGACCATGGAGCTAGGGGGCAAAAAACAATAGAGATTTTTAGTCATTAATAATAGTTCAAAGTCCATTGAATGTTAGCAAACTAACCTCGGCTGCCTGCGTGAATTCAATACCCGTGTGATTGGCAGCATTCTCCTCAGTCTCTCCCCTTGACAAACGGGCCGAAAGGCTCTTGAAAGCCAAGCGGGTCTTGCTGCAATATTATAAAAGTTAATACACAATTTCTTTTAACATATTTCTTTCCTCACTTGGCTGATGTGTACTTCATGGCCTTCACCATGTTCTCCCAGCTGCCCGTCCAGGCGCCAAATTCAGGATTCTTTTGCACTTCGGCCAGATATTGAACGGTGGGCGCCAGAGGAGCTGCACTCAACGCCGATCGCCAGGACTTCATCAAGAAGCGACCGATCTGCAGAAGGAGCACAGTGTTCTCACCCTCGTAAATGCAGGATGCGGTGGCCAGCGCGTATAGGTTGCTCATATTTGACGATGAGAGGTAACCATGGCCGCCACATCCCAGGCGCAAAGTTTCCACTCCAGCGGTTGAATCAATGGCACTGGTTACCTTCAAAGCACAGGACAAGGAATGCAGCTCAGGCAGACGTTCGTATTTCCCATTTTCTATATCCTTAATGGTCTGCTCGTAGAGATTCCATACGTAATAGCTGCTTATCCCATAAGCTAAGCTGGTGGCGATCTCCGGAAAAAGCTTCATCTGCTGGGTGACATGGTCCATGATCTGTGGCTCTCGTTCTCTGGACGGCCGAAAATTGAGGTGGTTTTAAATATTTATCTTTTCCTTAAATGCAACTCACTTGGGATTTATGGGACTTTGGCGACGCACGGCGGAGTACCTAGTGGCAATGGTGGCTGCTGCCGACAGAAATGCGGCATTATTTCGGACAATCAAACACCGGGTGCGAACCATGGCGAAGTAGTTGAGCACATTATTCGGACTTCTGACATAGGATCCATCAGCATTTACCTTGGCATAGCGCATCAGCATGCGCTTGCGCGGAATTCTCACATTCTGCAAGCCCAGGAAACCATGGTTTGTCCCAATAAAGCCCATTTTCTTGCCAATGTCACCGATGTGGACTCCTGGAAGCGGCTCAAAAGTATCCTCATCGCGAACCTGGACAAAGAACATGTGTGGTCCCTTGCACTGACTATTTATATACAGCTGTGCCATCACCAAGCAGTAGTTGCAGCATTGGCCCACTGCAAAAGATGATTCATTGGTATAATTAGGCCAATCTCTCTTTGCTATATAAACTTACGTCCTGCGGCCCACCACTTGTAGGATGAAATCTTGGGCGTATTCAGCACAAACTCATCTGTATTCGGATCGTAATCAGCCCGTGTTTCGAGTCCTCGCAAATTAGATCCGTGTCCCAGCTCCGTTTGGGCATAGGTGGCGGAGATCTCGAAGCGTTCCACCCGCTTTCCAAACTCCTCGTACTGCTCCGGATCGCACTGGGCCTGCAGAGCCTTGACTAGCATCACGTACATTACGCTGAAGGATTTCCTCCTGGCACATTAAACCACATTACTGACTGTTCATAAAGATTTCTAAGAAGTGTAGAGGTAATGCCAAGGATTAGTTAAGAAACTTGTGGAGTATTCGTTAAATAACACCCACGGCCAGTACTCATTTCCGCCGGGATTGCGCTCCTGCTGCAGCCGTCGCAACTTCTGGGCGGCTTTGATGGCGCACCGCTGAGAGAACTCGTTAATCTCCTCGTGGGATTTGGCTTCCAATTGCATAACCTTATTTAAGTCCACATCCTTTTCTAAATACGAACCTAAAAGGAAAGAGAACTAAAGTCTGGAGACGGATAAGGGATATGATCGACCTACGGACATCCCGGTTAAATTTTAGGATCTCCTTTCCACCCGCCCACCAGGCGGCAAATTCCTCAGTACTAAAGCTCGCTCCATCTCGTACCTTCTGCAGATCAGGATTAACGAAAATGGGGACAACCGAAGTAGTGTTCATTGTAAAGACTGTTTGATCACTAAAAGCTCCTGACTAAACATACATCCATAAATAATCTAATGCGTAGTTTATCATTCTATATATTCATAAATATTTATAGGCAACTTTTATTGTCTGATTACACAGGTCCAAGTTTAAAAATACTTTCGATTTTAACCACCACAAATTTATTTTTATTTATATCAATTTAGATTGCGTCAATGGCGATACAAACTGGTAAATAAACCAAGCAATATCGATTACAATAAAAACTCTTTTCTTGTTCAAATTTTATACAACACTCTAAGACTTGAGCTTTTTGTTTTAATAACAAGGAAAGTTTAAATCTAGATAACATTTTTATTGAGCCTGGAAAAATTTTCCACTGCTTACTAACATGCGTGAATCGATAAGGTAGTTATCGATATTGTGTCATCTCAATTGTGGTTTGTTTTGGTTTCGTGCCGCATATGTTTCTTACGTTTCCCTCTTTTTTATGTCTAAAAACTTTAATATTGGCCTGCTCGGCCATGTGGACAGTGGAAAGACTACGTTGGCCAAGGCTTTGAGCTCCATATCGAGCACAGCGGCATTTGACAAGAATCCGCAGTCGGTGGAACGTGGAATAACATTGGATTTGGGCTTTAGCGGACTCGTGGTGGACGGGCCACAAGGAGATCAGCTGCAGTTGACGTTCGTTGATTGCCCTGGCCATGCGAGTCTGATCCGCACTATCATAGGAGGTATATAACTGGATTTATATATCTGTTGAGTTGTTAATTAATCTTACACTTTCAGGAGCACAGATCATTGATCTTATGTTGCTCGTGGTGGACGCCCAAAAGGGCATCCAAACGCAGACGGCCGAGTGTTTAATCATTGGAGAGCTCATGGACAAGAAGCTGATTGTGGTGATCAATAAGATCGATGCTTTCCCATTGGATCAGAGGGAGTCAAAGCTGGAGAAGCTACGCTTGCGCCTACGTAAGACTTTGGAAGCCACAAGCTTTGGTAGAGAGGTACCTATATACGCCGTGTCGGCCCTAGAGAGAATCAATATGCAGGAGATAAAAGATGGACTGATACAGGCCTACTATCAGCCGGAGAGGAATGTCACCGCTCCATTGCTGATGTACGTGGATCATTGTTTTGGCATTAAAGGCCAGGGAACCGTTTGCACGGGTACCTTGCTCCAAGGAAAAGTGCAAGTCAACGATATGGTAGAGCTGCCGGCATTGAATGAACAGCGCAAGGTGAAATCGATCCAGATGTTCCGTCAGAATGTGTCCAGTGCCTCTATGGGCGATCGCATTGGCCTGTGCGTCACCCAGTTCAATGCCAAGCTCCTGGAACGTGGAGTAATTTCCCAGCCTGGTTACCTCAAACCCATATATGCAGTATGCCTGCAACTCAGGCCCATCCGTTACTATAAAAATGCCATTAAATCGAAGAGTAAACTTCATGTCTCTTTGGGGCATGACACGGTCATGGCCAATGTGACATTGTTTCGGAATACGGATAACCTATCAACCGAATTTCGACTGGATAAAGAGTATGAGTATGTGGAGGAGCTGCAGCCAGCCGAGGCTTCAAGCAACGATATAATCTTCGCCCTGCTGGAGTTTGAGAGCCCTGTGTTGTCCCCTCCAAATTCAACACTGATTGCCTCTAAGCTGGATATGGATGTCCACAGCAGCAGCTGTAGATTGGCTTTCTGGGGTCGCATTGCGTGGCAGACGCAGAGTGTGAATTATATCCACAAAGTGCTACCTCAATTAAGAATCTTCAAGCGGAAACAGAAGGTGGGAAGCATTCAGCGAGTGGTGAATGCCAACGAAGTGATTGTTCAGAATCTGTTCAAGAAAGAGGCTAAAAGAGAACTTTATGTGGGTAAGACGGTGGAGCTTTCCACGGGAGAAAGGGGTCGCATCGATCGAACTTTTGGCCAGACCTCAAAGGTGGCTATTACCTTTCAGGATTCACTTTCACCCGCAACCATATCCAATGTAAAAGATGTGCAAGTTTTGTTGAACTGTAAGAAGTATGTGTTTAATAAACAAGCGGGGCTCTTTCAGTGACAAATTACTACAACCTGTTTTTGGAATTCCCTGTGGTTGCATTTTCTTGCAAAAAAAATTTAAATACTCCGCCAAATTAACGATTACATGAGCTATCGATATAAGTACTAAAATTAACAGCCACTGCTGGATAACATTGGAACTTTAACAGATGTTTTGGTATTTTCAAATGGTTAAAATTTTTTAATCAATTTAAAATGTTATTGAATCAGATTTGCTCTCTTAATATATATTAACTCACTAATATATTGACTCACTAATTACTGTGGAACAATTTGCAGTATTTTTTTAGTACATATATCCAATTTAACTATTTAGTACATCTACCCGCTCCGAGCACGGTCACACTGCATGATGAGTCCAAACAACAACAAATCGCTAAAATTGCTAAAATAACAAACAAAACATCGAAACGGAAACGTAAAAACGAAGAATCCCCGTGTCAAACCTCAGCCTGCAAACTGCCAGTGCAGCCACCGCCAAATCTGCACCATAACCACCCAGAAAAGAGGCCAAATCCACCTTCAATGTGCTGCAGTGCCGCATTTCCACTGATCCCGCTGCTGCTCCTCATCCTCTCATTCGCCGCCAGAACACACGAGGTGAATGTCGATTGCAACGAGCTGCGGATGATGGGCCAGTTCATGTGCCCGGATCCCGCCCGGAACCACATCGATCCCAAAACGCAGCAGTTGAGAGGTTGCACGAAGGAGGGCCGCGCCCGCGTTTGGTGCATCGCCGCTGACGAAATAAACTGCACGGAAACGGGCAACGCCACCTTCACTCGCGAAGTGCCCTGCAAGTGGACGTGGGTATTACTGAGTTACCCTGAAAGCCCAAATTTCTTACTATCCTTTTGTTCGTTTAGGAATGGCTACCACCTGGACACCACGTTGCTACTGTCCGTTTTCCTGGGCATGTTTGGCGTGGACCGTTTCTACCTCGGCTACCCAGGCATCGGTCTGCTCAAGTTCTGTACCCTCGGCGGCATGTTCCTGGGCCAGCTCATTGACATTGTGCTGATTGCCCTGCAGGTTGTGGGCCCGGCGGATGGATCCGCCTATGTTATACCCTACTACGGTGCCGGCATTCACATTGTGCGCAGCGACAACACCACGTATCGGATGCCCAGGAATGACTGGTGATGGTTAAGGCGGCACAGCGCCTTGTGTACAGTAGATCACTTTAAGTCTTTGTTATACCTTAAGTACGGCTTATGACACTAACCGTAAGCAACGACTGAGAAGCTCCGCCTCGGAGCGAGATTCGGAGTACAGATTACAGATTAGTGCATTACGCGTACCCTAGTCGATAAGTGTAAAGATTGTTGCCACCTTTGCGTAGCCTAAGTTGCATTGTTTAGTCTTAGTTACCACTGTACATGGTCCCCCATACACTCTACATCTGTATTGTAATTGTATAGGCCGCATAGACAAATTGTTTGCCAATATAACTAACGATTTAATCAGTCCCGGTCTCCCATGTCTCGTTTCGTTGATCCCGGTGAGCAATCGCGCTCCTTGGCAAGCTAATTGGCCCACTTGTACTTTGATCTCTCGAACATTTTCGGCGTGACAGGGATTCGGACAATGCAGGGAGGAGCGGAAAGACGACATCCCGCGTGGTTGACTCATCGCTAGCCAGCGAGCGCTAATCGACTAAGAACGCACACACATTGGGAATCCGAATGGGCAGCGAGTGCCCAGCACGAGGAGTTCGGGAGCATTTGCTCCGTTGGCCCTTTCATCTGATTGGCATTTCCGATATAATCAGCGACGACGCATCAGCCAGCCGGCGAGCTGTTCGATTTTAATTGCCCGGCCTGGGCTCCCCGTGTAACTCGATGCGTTTTAATTAGGCTCTCAATTAAGATCAAGTTTGCTTTTATCTCGAAATGGGTGAGTGTTGCATGCAAATCTGATGAATGGTCGGTGTCGCTTTAATTAACAACGAAGATGAAAATTCTTTAAAGAACGGGTCAGTATATCTTACTATATAACCTACAGATTCTATCGTTATCAAGAAAAAAAGCTAACTTCTGGAAGCCGTAGTTTTTACATGTACCTTGCATTTGCAATACGATCAGAAAACATATGATATGTGTATTCTTGGTTTATTTACGATCAATCCTATATTAATTTTTTGGGTACATCTATTTTTAAATCTCATAACCAAGCCAAAAACGCATATATTTCACTTCGGAACCCTTTCCTATGCTGGTTTTTATTAGATTAATAAATCTGCATAATCAATTTTAAATTGTAAAATTTGGAAAGCTGTTTTGTGCTAGTTTTTATAAGGGTAATAAATCTGCAAACTTCATTATAAATGTTAAAAAATAAAAATGTCAATTTTGACAATTTTAACAATGTTATAAAAATTTGAAAAAATTAGCAAAAATTATTTAGCACAGAAAAGCTTTCCGCATTTAAATTAATGCGAATTCGGCTTAATTATGATGTCCGAAAAACTTGAATTTTTTATGAAAATTGTCTGTTTTTATACTTTTTGCTGGGTATAGTTTAAGACAGAAGCTTGTAACACCGTGAAGAAGTCATTTCCGACCCTGTAAACCATATATTCTTGATCAGCATCAAAAACTGATTCAATCTAGCCATGTCCGGTTAAAAATAAATTTACGAATTTTTTGAGAAATTAAAAAAAAAGGGGTTAAATCATTATTTTTCTTAAAAATTGATTTTTTTTAATTTGAAAACGCAGTATGCAGATTTGTTAATCTAGTAAAAGCTAGCATTAAAGTTAGTTATGATTTTTGGACAAAATTGTCTGTTTTTATACCTTTTTGCAGGGTCTTATAATTTTAGTCGAAAACTGACAACAGCACCAACAAACGCAGTATGCAGATTTGTTAGTGCAATAAGGACTAGCACAGAAAAACTTTCTGAATTAAAATTAATGCAAACAAGGGCTTAATTATGATATCCGAAAAACTTGGATTTTTCATAAAAATGTTCTGTTTTTATATCTTTTTGCTGAATATAATTTAAGTCAGAAGCTTGGAACACTGTGAAGAAGTCATTTGATCAGCATCAAAAACTGAACCAATCTAGCCTTGTGTTTTCCCTTTGTTTTAACTATGTATATGATTAGTTTTATAACTCATCGTAGTAAACCACCTATTCCCATCAAACTGTCCACGAAAGTCTCCTCGTTGAGCGTTGGCCTAGGCAACGGTAAGTAATACTATAATACACAACCGCAACGCCCCACAAGCCCAACCCCACTGAAATTGGCAATGCACTGACCCCGGCCACGCCCACCGCCCATTTTATTGTTATGTAGACAAGTGGACATGCGGAGAAGAGGTTTTCAATTAGCCGGGCCAGAAGAGTTGACAATATGTTGTTGATATGTCGCAGTGGAAGCGGATCCGTCGTCCGCACACCTAATTACAGTATGAGAGTCGTGCCGCCTGTGTAAACATCAAGGGGGAAGGCGAAAGAGGAGGGTTGGGGGAAAGGAGAAAAGAGAGGCAATTCACTGGAGGAAAATATAGTAATTTTGTATAGAAATTAAATGTATGTTTTTGGTTGAATAAAGATCCCAAGTAACTTTGCTTTTGCTTATAAATTTATTGTATTAAATTTAATTATAATTGTGATCTTTATAGTTTTATGATATTGCTAATATCAGTACTTAAAATTCGTATTATTTTAATATCTTATTATACACCTTTTTACTCATCATTATATCACATATAAAACTCTTTACTATTTCTCTCCGTGCAGCACTTGATCTTTGGCGGCAGACATCCCCCCATCCGTGTACTATTGACTCCTTCTGGCCATTCTTCTTGGTCTTGTGCCTGGACCTTTGGCCATATGCACATATCATTTACCAACGTTTCGCTTTCAGGAGGCAAATGAACTCTGCGCCATTAGGGAAATTTGAGGAGCTTGTTTTGTATGCCGGCTGTTTGTTTTTGCTGCTCGCGCGTGGTAACCTTATGGAAAATGCCCAAAATCCCCCAGAATCCCCCCAGAATCCCACCAGATCCCCAAGAGCCAAAAGATCTGCCCCCGCCGAGTTGTTGACTCTCTGACTGGCCGCAAACTATTTCACAACTCCAGGCGTACACCGAACCTGGGATTATCCCCACCTGACTCGCCTCCAGAAATAGCCACGTTAATAGCGACAATAGCGACCGAGTCACATATTGGCCAATTGCAAATATTTGCCAGTATCAAAATAGCATCGATGCGATGCGCAAACTGCTCCGCATTAGAGTACAACGTATATATAGCATACGGGAGCTTAGGGCGGAGACGGAGACGGAGACGCTCGACGGGTTTCCTATTTGCTCAGGGCTTAGGAGCTCAACGCTTAATTACGCTCAAGTGGCGTGGAAAATTGTGGGGCGGGATACTCAGATTTCCACCCGCCCACTCGACCCGATGACGTTTACGCCAAATTGCTTTGCTTTGTTGAAGGGGGCGGGGGCATTGCAGGGAGGTACATATCGACTATGCAAATAACGAGCGGCATTTAATGAAACGCAATTATTTAATTTTACAGACTGCGTCACGGTTCCCACCTGGCTGCATATTGCACCGCTCGTCGTTCGACTTTGGCTTCGGATCATAAATAATGACTGGGCCAGTGACAAAATCCCTGGCCTGGGAAACCCAGCTAGCTCCGAAGCTAAAGCTGGAGTTTAGGCCAAAGCCAAAGCCAAAAGCCGAGTTTCGTTCGTGATAACTGCAATTTTCCAGCCACAACTACAGATACAATGAGTGCATAAATCATCTCCAGCTCAACTTAACTCAGCTCAGCTCAGCTGCAACTCTGTGGCATTTTCCTAGCGTGCTGCTGCTGCGACTGCTGCAGCTTTTCCACAAAAAACAGCAACATAAATGCACCGCATAAATGTCAAATGCCTGGCAGTTTGATTTGGCCGCGGGTTAAGTGTGAATTATCCCAGGGCCTCGGATCTCTCAGCACCATTTGTACGTTGTCTCATCTGCAGAATGCATTTAAGAGCTTTAAGTGCTATTATCGCATATTCGAGGCGAATGCCACAAGACACATTTTGCATTCGGATTGTGGCTGTCAGAGGCGAGCTTTGGGAATTATAATAAATGGTTATATTTGTTTGGTGGGAAAAGCCGGGAAGAGTGTCTCTTAATAGTTGGTAGAAGTAATATTTAAATGTAACTTCTTAAAGACTCAAAATCTTTGCATTGGCAAAAGTTCCCTTATTTCAAAGTATAATTCATATATTTTCAAGGTAGAAAGGTTCAAAGTATATATATATATATATAAGTACGTCAAAGTCCATTAACTTTCAGGGGGGTTTATTGATCTTATCAGTTCACCTGATAGTTCTTAATCAACTGAACAAAAACCTCATCATTTCCCATGCCAATGTAATTAAGGGTATTTTTTTCCATTGAGCACCAGAAAGTGTATGCAAATATTTACCACTATTACTTTATTTGTTTTATTTTATTTATCTCTCTGCTGGTCCTATTTGCCAGGGAGTTAACTTCTTTGTCTGGGACTCAGAGTAAGACTGTTTTATTTATAAACAAAATATCTTTCTCGGTAATATTTAGGCAATGTTGTGAAATAGTAATATAGCATTTATAATTAGATATATATTTATTGCTCATTCAGAATATACCCTAATCAACTCTCTTTGTTACCTGGGAGATTTGTTAGTGGTATGCTTAGCATTTCCGTTTCGTAAACACTTGAAAGCCTTATAATTTCACCTGACTTTCGATTGATCCTATCTTTCCACCTGACACTTACCTGACACTCACCTGGTAATCAGCTGCTTCTGCTCCAAAGTCTGCCAATTTCACCTGACAACCGGCGATCTTATCGGCCACGCATTACACATTGTTTACCCACACTTGAACTTCAATTCATTCATGGATCGTGGAACGACAGGCAATCTAATCGATACTACGCCCCAATGACATGGTATGCTCCTCCTATCAGTCCAGGGGAAAGACCCTGCTCCGTGGATCCCGCGGCGCCTAAGCCCCCAGCACGCGGAGCTGTCAAAACAAAGAAGTCGTCGCAGACAGCGCGGAATGCCAGTTGACAAATTCTAATTGGCAAAAGTTCCCGGAATCGAATGGAATTGAATTAAATTGAGTTGCCTGCGTTAAGTTGTGTTAAGGTGTGCTGATTTGATACCAGTCATGGGCATGGGTATCGGTGTATCAGTACCCAGTAATAATGGGCGCTTCTCATGTTCGCCTTGTTAACACTTTTGCCACTGACGACGATCCAACCGAGCGGTGTTCATTTCGCCGAGGAATGTGTGAATGTAGATTGAAATTCGATTTCAATTGCAACTTTTGAGGGCTGCGCCTTTGATGTTGCTAACATACATATATCTAAATGTCTCACTATATTTATGCACTTTGGAAAAATATATATAGTTCTATTTTGGGATTGATGAAGAACTCTTTTGTGAACTCAAAGTTAA